AAGCCGCCACCGCTAAACCCGCTGGCTGCCCCAGGCGTCCTGCCTGGCCGGAGGAAGCGCTCGCTGGCGGGCCAGCGCAGCTCCTGGGCCTGCGGCCATACCCTTCGAAGGCCCCGGCCCCCGCTACCAAAACCTCGCCACGCAAACCCGGTACAGCTTCTTGGGCAGGCGCAGAAGGAGCCTCCTTCCCGCAGCTCTCCTGGCCTGGCTGACAAAGGTAAACGTGTCCCTGTGCAGTGCCAGGCACTGGCAGCAGCTGTATCCGATTCCCTGGGCTGACCACAAGAGCCAAACTGCTGTTGCCGCATTTGGGAGGTCAAAGGACTTGGGAATGGGATCACACACCAGCAAAATCCATCTGCCTGTGCTAACCGTGACTTCAAAGGCGCTCAGACATCAAAGCGATGCACATAAAATAAAAAGCTATACAGATTTGTAGGACGCGCCCTACAAAGGATGAGGGAAGCCTGCCCAGCTCCCCAGGCTGGTTTCTAGCTGGTGTTTTCTCTGGGCAATTGAGTCAACACAGGAGCAGGGAGCAGCGCAGGGTGACACAGGAGGAGCGGGGCAGCGCAGGGTGTCACACAGCAGGAGCAGCACAGGGTGTCACGCAGCAGGAGCAGAGCAGCACTGGGTATCACACGAGGAGCGGGGCAGCGCAAGGGGTCACACAGGAGGAGCAGTGCAGGGCGTCACACAGGAGGAGCAGGGCAGCACAAGGCATCACGCAGGAGGAACAGCGCAGGGCGTCACACAGCAGGAGCGGGGCAGCGCAGGGTGTCACACAGCAGGAGCAGAGCAGCACTGGGTATCGCACGAGGAGCGGGGCAGCGCAGGGTGTCACGCAGCAGGAGCAGAGCAGCACTGGGTATCACACGAGGAGCAGGGCAGCGCAGGGTGTCACGCAGCAGGAGCAGAGCAGCACTGGGTATCACACGAGGAGCAGGGCAGCGCAGGGTGTCACGCAGCAGGAGCAGAGCAGCACTGGGTATCACACGAGGAGCGGGGCAGCGCAAGGGGTCACGCAGGAGGAGCAGC